TAAAATGGCAAAGATCAAAGAGAAAGAGTACTGAAACCAAAGAGATGGATTACTTACAAAGGAAATTCCATCAGCAGGATTCCCAGCAGAAACTTTACAGGCCAGAAGGAAGTGGCATGAAATATGTAATGTACTGAAACAGGACCTTCAACCAAGAATCCTCTACCTGGCAAGATTATCATTTAAATTTGAAGCAGGGATTAAACAACTTCCAGATAAACAAAAGTTGAAGGAATTTACCACCACTAAACCTGACTTACAGGATATATTAAAGGACTGCTGTAGATAACATTCCTAAAGCTAAATAGCTTCCCGTAAAGGCAGTAGACCATTTAAAAAGCAAGCATGAAAGTAAAACAAAACAAAAGCAAAGTCAACTCTACACAAAATCAGTCAAGGGATATACAAAAAGTACAGATTATGACATCTAATACATAAAGTTTGGAGGAGGATGAAGAAAAAAAGTACCTTTAGATTGTGTTTGAAATAGACAAATCAACTATATAGACTGTTGTATAGTAAGGAAGCTATCCTTGAACCTTTGGTAACCACAAAACTAAATCTTATAATAGATACACAAAAAAATTAAAAATGAAATCACAACATTAAAGAAAACCATCAAATATCAAGAGAAGAGTATAGGGAAGAAAGGAACAGGGAGGAGCTATAAAAACAATCAGAAAACAGTTAGTGAAATGGCAATAAATACCTATCTGTCAATAATTTTCTTAAATGTAAATGGACTAAATACACCAATCAAAAGATATAGATTGGCAGAATGGATAAAGAAAAGACCTATGTGCTGCCTACAACAGATTCATTTTAGATCTAAAAACAAAGACTTGAAGGGATGGAAAAAGATATTTCATGCAAATAAAAAAAGTAGCTGTACTTATATCAGACAAACTATATTTTAAAGCAAAGTAAAAAGATACAAAGAACCATTACATGATAAAGGGGTCAGTCCAACAAGAGGATATAATCATGATAAATATCTGTGTACCCAACAAAGCACCTAAATACATAAAACAAATACTAACAGAACTAAGGAAAGAAATAGGTGAACTCATTCATATCAGGGGACTCTTAACACACCACTTAACATCAGTAGACAGATCATCCAGACAGAAATAAGGAGAGAGGCAATGAACAACATATTAGAACAGATGGACCTAACAGACATCTACAGAACACTTCACCCAAAAGCAGCAGGATACACTTCTTTCTCAAGTGTACATAGAACATTTTACAGAATAGATCACATACTAGGCCACAAAAATAGCCTCAGTAAAATAAGAAGGATTGAAATTGTACCAATCAGCTTCTCAGACCACAGTGATATGAAAGAAAAAATGGACTGCACAAAGAAAACAAAAAGCCTACAAACACAAGAAAGCTAGCAACATGGTTTTAAATTATTAGTGGACAATGAACAAATTAAAAAGCAATACATGAAGACAAATGAAAACAGAAACTCAACAGCCCCAAATCTGAGGGATGCTGCAAAGGCAATTCTAAGATAGAAGTACATGGCAATCCAGGCCTACCTCAAGAAAAAAGAACAATTCCAAATAGTCTAAACACAATTAAAGAAACTAGGAAAAGAAGAACAAATGAAGCCAAAGTTAGTAGAAGGGACATAATAAAGATCAGAGCAAAAATAAGTAAAAAGAGAAAACAATAGAAAAAAATCAAACTAGATTGAGAAAAATAGATAAACCCCTAGCCAGACTTATCGAGAAAAAAAGTGTACACACATAAAATCAGAACTAAAGAAGGAATAATCAAAACAGATACCACCGAGATACAAAGAATTATTAGATAATGCTATGAAAAATTATATGCCAATAAATTGAACAACCTAGAAGAAATGGACAAATTTGTAGAAAAATGCAACCTTCCAAGATTGACCCAGAAAGAGACAGAATATCTGAACAGACCAATTAGCAATGAAATTAAATTGGTAACCAAAAAAAAAAAAAAACTCCCAACAAACAAAATACCATGTAAGGATGGCTTCATTGCTGAATTCTGCCAAACATTGAAGAAGAGCTAGTACCCATCCTTCTTAAAGTATTTGAAAAAGTAGAAGAGGGGATAGTTTCAAACTCATTCTATGAGGCCTGCATCACTCTAATACCATAACCAGACAAAGACACCACACAAAAAAATTACTGAACAATATCTCTGATGAACACAGATACATAAATCCTCAACAAAATATTAGCAAACCAAATTCAAAACTACATCAAAAAGATGATCCATCATGACCAAGTGTGATTTATTCTGGGGATGCAAGGATGGTACAATACTCATAAATCAATGTCATACACCACATTAACAAAAAGGATAAAAGCCACATGATCACCTCAATAGATGCTGAAAAAGCATTTGACAGAATTGAACATACATCCATGATTAAAGATTCTCAGCAAAATGGGTTTAGAAGGTATGTACCTCAACATAATAAAGGCCCTATATGACATACCCACAGCCAACCATCAGGATTATTGAAAAGCTAAAAGCTTTTTCTTTGAGATCAGGAAGAAGACAAGGATGTCCACTCACCACTTTTTCAGCAGAATACTGGAGGTCCTAGCCACAGCAGTGACAACACAAGGAGATTAAAGGCATCCAAATTGGTAAGGAAAAAGTTAAACCCTATTTGTAGATGACATATTATACATAGAAACCCTAAATACTTCACTAAAAAATTATTAGAATAACTGAATTCAATAAAGGTCCATGTTACAAAGTTAATACAAAGAAATCTATTGCATTTCTATATACTAACAATGAACAAATAGACAAATCATGAAAACAGCTCCATTTACAATTGCATCAAAAAGAATAAAATATCTAGGAATAAACTTAACCAAGGAGGTGAAAGAGCTATAGTCTCTGTACAGGTGAAAACTGTAACGCATGCATGAGAGAAACTAAAGAAGACACCAATAAATGGAAGTCTCTCCCATGCTAATGTATAGGAAGAATTGTCAAAGTGACCATCTTCCTCAAAGTGATTTACAGATTCAGAGCAATCCCTATCAAACTATCAACAGCATTCTCTTATGAACTAGTACAAATAGCTCTAAAATTCAAATGGAAAAGACCCTGAAGAGCCAAAGCCATTCTGAGAAAGAACAACAAAGTTGGGGGGATTGTTCTCCCTGACTTCAAGCTCTACTACAAAGCTACAGTAATCAGAACAGTTTGGTATTGGCACAAGAATAAACCCATAGATCAGCGGACCAAATAGAGAGCACAGATAAAATAAACCCATGTATATATGGTCAATTAATATACAGTGAAAGAACCATGCATATACAATGGGGAAAAAACAGCCTCTTCAATAGCTGGTGTTGGGAAAACCAGACAGCTACATGTAAGAGAGTGAAACCATTATTGTCTAACTCCATACACAAAAGTAAACTCAAAGTGGGTCAAAGACATGAATGGAAGTCATGAAACCATAAAACTCTTAGAAGAAAACAAGCAAAAATCTCTTGAACATAAGTATGAATAATTTTTTCCTGGACACATTTCCTGGGGCAAGGGAAACAAAAAATAAGTGGGACTACATCAAACTAAAGAGCTGCTGTACAGGAAAGGACACCAGCAGAACAAAAAGTCATCCTACAATATGGGAGAATATATTAGTAAATGATTTTTCTGATGGGTTAACATATATAAAGAACTCACATGACTCAACTCCCAAAGAGCAAATAACCTGATTAAAAAATGGGCGGAGGACCTGAACAGACAGTTCTCCAAAGAAGAAGTACAAATGGCACAGGCACATGAAAAGATGCTCCACATCACTAATCATCTTGGAAGTGCAAATCAAAATCACAGTGAGATACCACGGTGACTATCCAAAAGACAGACATAACAAATGGTGGGGATGCTAAAAAATGGTGTAACTTTGGCTGGGAGGGTAGGGGTAGGGTCTGCCTGCCTGGGGTAAGTTTGCTATGAATTCATTGGGACTGAATAAAGACAAGGGCAAGAGGTTGGGAATTAAAGGGGTTTATTCTCATGGCTGCCTCTCCCGGTTTTCACTGGTACCTCTCGCAGCTCCCTCTCTCTTATCATGGCTCTGAACCATGGCTGCCTGGCTCTTCTTCACTGCTCAGAAACCCGTCACAAAGCTCCCAAGCTCTCTGCTGCACTAGTGACCCCCACTCCTGCACTGGGGAACTATGTCGGTGGGGCCCTGGTGACTGGCAGACATCTGACCAACTGTATACCAGGAATGGGGGAAGGAGGGCAGCAGAGAGGAGAGAATGTGTGTTTTCTCTTCATCCCTACCCTGGACCAGCAATCTTGTGACTGACCAGCTACTCTGTCCCTAGTAAAACATCCTATAGATGTGCAAGCAGGATACAATGGGCACTATTAAGGAAAGATGGAATCCTGGTCAGGAGGTTCCATTTTCCCCACAAATGGGACCCTCTTACACTGTTGGGAAAGTAAATTGGTGCAACCACTGTGGAAAGCAGTATGGAGATTCCTCAAAAAACTAAAAATAGAAATACCACTTGACCCAGTAATTCTACTTGTAGGTATTTACCGAAAGAAAACAAAATCACTGGTTCAAAAAGATAAATGCACTCCTATATTTATTACCGTACTATTTGCAGTAGCCAAGATATGGAAGCAACCTAATTGTCCATCAGTAGGTGAATGGATAAAGAAGAGGTGATGCATATACACAATGGAATATTATTCAGCCATAAAAAGAAAAGAAATCCTGCCATTTGCCACAAGGGTGGTCCTAGAGAGTATTATGCTCAATGAAATAAGCAAGGGAGAGAAAGACAAATGCCATATGATTTCACTTATTTGTGGAATACAAAAACAGCAAAACAAGGAACACAACAACAGTAGACACTGAGAAGTAACTTTTACCAAGGGGGAGGGTTTGGGGCAGATGGGTGGGGATGGGGAGGGGGTAAAGGGGTACAATTGCAGTCAACATATTAGTTGGTAATGGGGATGATAGTACAGCATGGACAATATATTCTACTCTATAAACATCTTTTTACATTGATAGTAACCGCACTAGAGGAGGTGAGGATTTAATAATATGGTAACTGTTGAAGCACTGTGGTGTACATTTGAAACCAATATAGGATTGTTTATCAATGATAATTCAATAAAAAGAAAATGAGTCTCTTGAGGACAGCATATATGTGGGTCTTCTTGTTTTATCCATTCAGCCACTCTATCTTTGGTTTGTGTTTAATCCATTTACATTTAAAGTTACTATTGATAGGGAATGACTATTGCCATTTTGTTTGTTGTTTTCTTATAGTTCTTTTAACCCAGTTTTTCCTCCCTTGTCTTCTTTTGGTTTCTTTGTTTGGAATTGATATGCTTTGGATCCTTTCTATTTTTCTTTGGTGTAACCTCTATTTTATTTGTTGTTATGTGGTTTTCATAAAATATATGTTAATAATATGATAACTTCAATTACATAGAAAAACATTTCTCACCCCTCATGTGTTATGGACCTTGCAGTTTACATTGGTTTGCATTGTATATCATTAACATGTTTTACTTATATTTAATACTTCTAAAGACTCTCATACTAGAAGTAAAAGTGCTTTACTCAATTTTTATATTAATACAGCATTCTGTATTTGCCTATATGTTTATCTTTACCAACAAGTTATATTTTCTTATTCTGTTATGTTGCTAATTTAGCATCCTTTTGAATTTTCTCATTTCTGGTACTGAAGATCTAGTGATGAACTCCCTCAGCTATTGTCTTTCTTAGAGCGTATTTCTCCTTAATTCACAAAGGACAGTTTTTCTGAGTATAATCCTGATTGGCAGGATTTTTTCTTTCACCACTTTGAATATACTATTCCTATCTCTTATGGCCTTGAAAGTTTTGCTGAAAAATAGCCACTGATAGTCTAATGGGAGTTATTGTATGTGATAATTCCCCTTCTCTTGCTGTTTTCAGAATTCTCAGTTAATGAAGTCTCAGTGTGGCAATGTAATTACAACATGAATTTGATTTAATATGTCTATGGATTTCTTTGGGTATGTCTTTTTGTGTGTAATTTGGCTTCTTGAGTCTAGATGTCCGCTTTCATCTTCCCCAGATTTAGGATGTTTTCATCCATTACTTCTTTGAGTAAGTGTTCTGGTTCTCTCTTTTGCTTCTGAGAGTCCCATAATGTCTGTATTGGTCTCTTTGATAGTATCCCATAAGGACCTTAAGCTTTCTTCACTCTTCATTCTTTTTGTTCCTTTGACTTAATTTTAAAAGACCTGTCTTTGAGTTCTCTAATTTTGTTTTCTGCTTGCTCTAGTCTGATGTTGAATCTCTCTGTCGAAATTCTCAGTTTGGTTATTATATTCTTCAGCTCCAAGATTTCTCTTTGGTTATTTTTTAAACTTTGTTTCTTTATTGAAATTCCACTTTGTGTATGTTTTGTTTAGAGCTCACTGAGCTTTTTTATGACAGTTACTTCAAATTCTGCAAAAGGTAATTCTGTACCTACATTTAATTAGGGTCATTTTGTGGTGCTTTTTATTCTTTTTTTGTTTGGATTGTGTTTCTTTCTTCTTTTTCCTTCCTTGATACACTGTTGATATGTATACATTAGAAAAAGTCACCATTTGTCCCATCCTTCATGGATTGGCCTCATTCAGAAGGCCTTCACCCTTCAGAGCTTGTTTGAGCCTCTCTAGCCTTCATACTAGTCCAAACCACTGTATTTGTTCTTAGTGCCCCCTAGGCAATTAGAGTATGCCAGGTCCCATCAGTACTCTAAAACAAACACTATCCCTTAGGTAGCTCCTGGAGAAATCAGAATCTTGCATACGTGATCCAACTCTTTCCCTCCCCAGGAAGAGGGTGACAGCTGGAGTTTTTCTCCCGCTATCTCTGCTTTGGGCTGGGTGGAGGCCTATGATGAGTGTTTGTATGCTAGTTCAAATCAACTTCTTTGTTCGCAGTGTCCCCCAGGTGTCTGGGATATGTTGGGTCCCATCAGTGATCCAAGACAGAAGCCAGTCCTTTGGGCAACCCCAGGGAGAGTTGGAACATTTGATGCACAGTCCGCTCTTTCCATCCCCAGGAAGAAGCTGGGAGCTGTGGTTTTTCTCCCACTTGCTCTATATTAAACTGAGTGAGGAGCTGTCATAAGGGCCTGCGTGCTGTTCACATCACTCCCTTTGTTCTCTTTTGCCACCAGGGGCCTAGCATATGTCAGGTCCCATCCATACTCTGAGGTGAGATAGAAGTCAATCCCTCAAACAGCTGCCACAGAACTTAGAACATTAGATACATGGTCCAACTCTTTATCTTCAGGGAGATGGCTGGAGTTGTAATTTTTCACTCATTCAGTCTGCTCTAGGCTGCAGATATAGTGTTTGTGTTCAAACCACCTTTGTTCTCAGTGGCTGTCAGGTATCTTGAATGGGCTGGGTCCAATCAGTGCTCTAAGAGGTGAGACAGAAGCCAGTCCCTTAGTCAACCTTCAGAAAAGTTGGAATGTTTGATATACAATCCAACTCTTTCCTTCTGTAGGGAGAAACTGGGAGCTGAAGTTTTTCTCCCACTCTGCATTGATGAGGAAAAGGAGCTGTGGTGAGTGCCTGCATGCTAGTTCAAACCAGTAACTTTGTTCTCTGTAGCAACCAGTGGCCTAGCATCAGTGCTCCAGATGTTCAAGATAGAAGCCAGTCACTTGGAAAAGTTAGAACACTGGATGTGCAGTCCAACTTTCTCCATCCTTAGGGAGAAGTTGAAAGCTTAAGGTTTCCTCCCAATCATATGGCACTATGCCAGGAGTGTTCATTATAGTGATAGGGTGTCTCCAATTTTCCTACCAGTTCTAATATGGCTAGTGTTACACTTGCCCAGGGTGCAGAACTCTCTAGTTCCTAGATTTCTCACAGAGACTTGATCCATATGTTGCTGTTGAATTGTGTCCGTGGAGGGATGGAAAGTTTAGGGTTTCCTATTCCATGTCTTGATGATGTTACTCGAAATACTAGTAACTTTTCTGAGTTGTTCTTATATCCAGAAACTTACTGAACTTAGTTTTTCTTTTAGTTTTACTAGTTAGGTTACCATATTATTTGCATGTTATTGGATTTATTACTTCTTTTCCAATTCTCATATTGTTATTTCTTTGCTTATAATGGTAGCCAAGACTGTCTTAATTGGTAACAGTGGTAGGTAGGCATCCACTTCTTACCACCCATCTTATAGGGAGCATTTCTAAAGTTTCTTCAGTTAAGTGTAATGTTTGCCATAGTTCTAGTAACTTTTATGAAGTTACAGATATTTTTCAGTTTGGATCAATTACACCAAACCAAATTCTTTATAATTTCTCCAGGGTCAATTGGGAAAGGAAACCAGAAGTTTGTGCACATTCAATTTCTAGACAGGCTATGTTGAATTTTGAAATATATTTTTATTATAGTTTTAATTTCTTAACTTTTGTGTGTGTGTTTTTATTTAGTGTCTTGTTTCTGTTAAATTCTGTCAACTTTCTGAGGTTATTCATTATATTTCATTGACATTTTCTTCTGTTCTTTGCATTGATTGTTTCATATTTTGTCCTGTTTAGGGCTTTTTCATGTTTCCTATAGGCTCAGTTTGACTTTCTCCAGTTTGCAGTCACTTACATTCATCCATTAGCTTTTCTAGTTTCCAGGTTTTATCCCTACTGTCTCTTCTCCAGTATCCTTTGTCCTAGCGGGGTTTTCTTTGCTCTTCAGTTTTTACTGTATATTTCCTGTATATTACCATAAGCAATGGTAAACTCATATGTAGTCTGCCATTTTTAACAGAAATCATCCCCCTTTTTTATTAAAAGTCCATTGCTCCTCATTACTCACAGATTCTGTATTTGCAAATTCATCTATTCAATAAAATTTATTTGTTAAGCCCAAGTCAATACTTTTAGTGCTTTTATTCAAAAAATTTATTTGTAAATCCAAAATCAATACTTGAGGTTCTTCCATGGCCATTGGTGGACATGTGCAGACTGGCAAAAATACTGACATGAAGTTTACATTCTCTTACTTCCCTTTTTAGTCACCACCATGACGTGGAGATTCCATTTCTCTCTCCCCAAGTCAGTATCACAGAATTCCAAGGCAAACTATCTTTAGGTAATATCCAACATAATTGGCTCTATCCACAGAAGAGATTTACCTTACTGTTCTTGCCAGTTTCATTCAGTACCTTAGACTTGCTGCAGGCTGTCTCCTAATGTGATTTTGCCAACACACTCTGCACAAGAGCTCTGACCTTCCTACTCCAATTTATACATTTCTCAGTAGTTCTTTTTTAGTTGGTCTTGCAACTATTCACAAATTATAAAACATACAGTATGTGGCTTTGTGTGAGAGAATATGCTTCTAAACATGATTTAAGTTGCTGTATAATAGGGAGAATGTCCCGGAACAGGGTTTATTCACTGAAGTTTCAGGTGATTTTGATTCATGCCAGAACTACTTAAGGATTATAGAGATCATCTGTTTACCTAGTCTTTTAAATTTCCCCTATCACTGCTTCTTAATGTCTTTGCTTTTCTTATCAATTTTATAAGCCGTTTGGCCATACTTAAGCTCTGTCATAAGTATTTACTTTTCTAGATATAATTTTCAACTTAATCTTCCCATGTTTTTAAGAAATGTAACCTCTCTCAGGATAGAAAAAATGAACATATGCCTTTTTACTTTCTTTCAGATCTAGTATCGATGTGTGAGACCAAGATATTATCTCTAAAGAAGAGACATTTTAGTCAAGTAATAAGTACCCATGAAGACATGCCCACTTTTATTCAGCCATTTCTTACTCCACATCAAAAAGCTATTAATGAAGAGAAAGTCTGTGAATGTAAGATATGTGGAAAGGCCTTTAATCAGAATTCACAACTTACTCAGTATCAGAGATTTCATTCTGCTGAAAAAAACTATGAATGTAAGGAGTGTGGGAAGTCCTTTCGTCGTGGTTCACTTGTTACTCGACATCAGAGGATTCACACTGGTGAAAAACCCTATGAATGTAAGGAATGTGGCAAGGCTTTTAGTTGTAGTTCATATTTTTCTCAACACCAGAGGATTCACACTGGTGAAAAACCCTATAAGTGTAAGGAATGTGGAAAAGCCTTTCATTATTGCTCAAACCTTAATGATCATCAGAGAATTCACACTGGTGAGAAACCTTATGAATGTAAAGTATGTGGAAAAGCCTTTACTAAGAGCTCACAACTTTTTCCACATCTGAGAATTCATACTGGTGAGAAACCTTATGAATGTAAGGAATGTGGGAAGGCCTTTACTCAGCACTCAAGGCTTATACAACATCAGAGAATGCATACTGGTGAGAAACCTTATGAATGTAAGGAGTGTGGGAAGGCCTTTAGTAGTGCCTCAACACTTACTAACCATCACAGAATTCATGCTGGCAAGAAACTCTATAAATGTAAAGACTGTGGAAAGGCCTTTATTCAGAGCTCAGAACTTATTCAGCATCAGAGAATCCATACAGATGAAAAACCTTATGAATGTAGTGAATGTGGGAAGGCCTTTAATAAAGGTTCAAACCTTACTAGACATCAAAGAGTTCACACTGGTGAGAAACCCTATGACTGTAAGGAATGTGGAAAGACCTTTGGTAGTCGCTCTGACCTCATTCGCCATGAAGGAATTCACATTGGATGAATGATAAGCCCTTTTGATGATCTTTATAATATATATATTCTTAAAAAGTAATTAAAAACAACAGATAATACATGATTGAAGGTTCCCCTGTGTAGTAGTTTTCTCAGGCTACTGTAACAAAGTACCACAAAACTGGGTGACTTAAAATGACAGAAATCTATTTGTTCACAGCTTTAGAACTTTGAGATCTAAAATCAAAGTTGTCATGGTTGGTTCCTTCTGAGGAAGAATCCATTCCATGGCCTTCTCTTACCTTCTAGTAACAGCCATAAATCTTTGACATTCCCTGGCTTATAGATGTATCACTCCAATCTCTGGCCTCCATCTTCACATTGCATTCTCCCTGTGTATCTGTCTCTTCCTGTTCTTTTTTTATAACTGGATTAGGTCTCCACTTACTACATCTGTAAAGACCTTATATCCATGTACAATCACTTTCACAGGTATCAGGGTTAGGGCTTCAATAAGTTGTTTTTTTCTGACATTAAAATTTTTCCTTTATACATAACTTATTAAATTATTTTTAAAATGTGAACTCAAGGTCTAAATTAAACCTACCTTCCATACCAAAGATAGATTCTATCTCAAACTACTTATTCACTAATTCCTTCCCTATTGTTTTGTTCTCTTTGGTCATATATTTGTGTTTATATTAGCTTAGTTTTAAGGTCATCTTTCCTATTCCTTTGATATATAAATCTGTGCTACCACTGCTACACTGTAAGTATTCCTTTGATATATAAATCTGTGCTGCCAATACTACACTCTAAGTATAACAAGATGTTTTTTTATTATGGGAAGAATTGTAACCTTATAGGCAGCTCAGTTTTTTCCTTTTGTAAAACTAGTGTTTTATTGTAAAAAAGAAAACAAAAAAATAAAGATCTGTAATCCTACCAGAGATGACTACTTTCAAATTATTACAACATACTACCTTTCAGACTTCATTTACTGTAAGCATGACATATATGCTGTACTATAACCTGCCTTTATCATACTATTGTCTCAGAAAAAATGTATAAATGCTCTTTTTATGGTGTTGTCTTTTCTGTGGCTATCATTTTGCAAAATACTACAAAAGATAGTGTTTGCTAAAACTTCATAGTTATAAAAGTTGGCTTCCAAATATAACCTTAATGCTTTTTGTTTTTCTTTAGGAACCTTATATTTTACATAAGTGATGGATATTTTCTCCCTGTAAATATTGTGAACCATTCCAATCCCCTCGTTGAAATCACTGTTATCAATTTACCCTTCCATATCTTTTTAAATACTACTTAAATATGTGTGCACACACACAACCAAATACATAAATATTTGGAATACTTGTAGAAAAGTTAATGCTGCTTTATAATTTTTTTTTTTTTGGTATACATATACTAATTGTGTGTTGGATTGCTGTCATTAAATGAGTTCAGAAATGTAAAATGATTAGGACTGTTAGTACTACATAGTAACTATCTGGTGGATATTTTTATTTGAGGGAATGACTTTAACCCTGTTATACACCTAATTAACATAAAGAATTCATAATGAGAAATACCAGTGGGTATAATATTTGTAGAAATGCTTCTCCCTTATTCAGCTTGGTTTAAAAGGAGGGGTGGGGGAGGAATTCCTAGGAAATAAAAGAAAAAGAGTGGGTAAAAAAGCCTTCATATTTCATCTTGCACAAAAATTCTACACATTCCAATAATGGAATCCTATAATTCCATAGGTCAAAAAACCTAATTACATATTGAGAATAGTTGAATATTCATTTGTCAAAAGACAAAGAATAAATACTAATCAGTTCCCCACAAAAGTGGAACATACATAGGTCACATTCTTTTGCAGAGTGGAAAAACTTAATATATGATAGCCAATAAATATCTGAATGTTGATAGTAACCTTCCAACATGAGTCAAGAAAGAAATCAACCCCTAAGTTATAATAAATGAAAATGAGCACATTATATGGAAAAACCTGAGTTGGCAGGCAAATCTGTGTTCAGATTAAAATATATAGCCCAACAGTCATCTGGTATTTAACCACCAAGAAATTTTTAGTAAGTGAACTAAATGTATGAAGCAAAAAATTCAAATATAAGAAAAGTTTCAGTAAAAATAAAAGGCAAATATAATTCAAGACGTAAAATTCTTTGACAAAATATATATGTTATGGAAAATACTGGAAAACCTGGACTGGATCACTGATGGAAGAACCAACCAGAACTTGGAGGTCTTGGAGTGTTGAGGTTTATTTTACACTGGCAGGCTCAGAGGGGAGTAATCTCCCAAGGTCTGAGCAAGCACAAATAAGGGGAGCATATATATTATTTTGATATGTGGCATTCCGGCATGCGCAGGACAAGAGGAGTCCGGAGGAGGGGAGGGGGCTGGGAGGGCTTTGCCAGCTGGAGGAAAATAGCAGTTTACTGACCTTGGTGGCTGTGTTGAATATTTTCCTTATCACTCCCTTCTCTGATGCCCCTTTAAACACTTCGTTTTAGGGGGCATCATCTTTTTTGGTTGATGATAGTGTTATAATGGCTTGTATTTATACTTTTAATAGCTTTGAGCTAGAATTTTTTCCCTTGTGATTTTTTCATTAAAGACCTGAGTACTTTGTGAAGAACACAAATGATATTTTCATGCATTTGTCTGTATGGGCCTTGTGTGTACAGGTTGAAATGAGTCCTTCAGACTCTTGATAAGCCTGTGCTTAACAAAAATAGTCTTTTTTTCAGTCCTAATTTATTTTTATGCAGCTGAGCATTACACTCAGGCTGGTTTATTTGAGCGTGAGAGGACAGGTGCTAAAGGTGTAGGGCTACTGAGGGCAGCTCCTTTGGGTGAAGACCATGCGCTTTATAACTTTTGTACAGTTAAACATTATAGAGGGGTACTTTGGAAATGCAGGCTGAGACTTGAGTTCAGCTAAGAGACAGGTAAGCACAGCAAAGCAATTACCCAATACACAATAGAAACTGAGGAACAGTTTAGAGGGGGCAGCAGCAGAGAATTTAATGCTCAGGATGAGAGATTCCATTCTGGTGAGGGTCAGGATTCACAGCGTGCAGGTGTTCATTAGTCAGAGGGTAATCGTCAGATGCAGAGGTGGAGAGGATCTGGAGGTCTGGCTGGGCTTTCTACTGATGTATCTTTGTCTGGTCCGGAGTATGGGCTCTTCTCACTCTGGAATGATGGACCCACAGAGTGTTGCCTGTAACTTTGAGGGCAGTAGGAGTAGTTAGAACAACAATGTGGGGCCCAGTCCACTGAGGTCTGAGGGGTTACCTTTTTCAATTTTTGACTCAGACTGAGTCCCGAGCCTGGAAGGAATGTACTGGGGTCCCTAAGAAGATCAGGGCTCTTTCTATGGTATATTGCTGCAGCTTATTTAGGGCAGCTCTTAAGGCATGGAGCTGTTACTCCCTTATTTCCTATCTGGTGTAGGTTCCCTGGGAGGCTTCCTAGACATGGGGGAGGGTGTCTATACACTAATTCAAAAGAGGAAAAGCCTTGAGTCCCAGGTGTGCAGCGAGCATGCAGGAGAGCCAGGGGCAGTAGGTCTGGCCATGGGAGGCCAGTTTCTTGGCAAAACTTATGGTTCCTTTGACGGTGGGATTTATTTGCTCCACTCTCCCTGAACTTTGTGGCCTGTATGCAGTGTGGAGTTTCCAGGTAATATTGAGAGATTTAGGTAAAATCTGTACTGCATCTGCTACAAAGGCAGATTAGTATTGCTTTTTGAGGAGGGCTTCTACTGCAGTTTTTCTTAGGTGGGTGAGCTGATGGTATTTGCTGACTAGATGCTTTCCAGTTGCAGTTGGGACAAAGATGTGTTTGTCAGGCAGCAACCATCTTTTTTTTTCCAAGTTAGGTTGGCTCCTTCAGCCATGGCCCAGTCTTTTTCTTTTTCAGTGTACTTGGTTGGAGGGGCCTCCACTGGGGGTGTTAGGGCCATGGTGAGGGAAGGAACTTTATCTGTTTTCATTGGCCACTGTTTTAGCTGCCTTATCTGCCAGCTAGTTCCCCTGTGTTATAGGATTGTTTTCTTTTTGGTGTTCTTTGCAATGCAGAATTGCTACTTTTTCTGGGAGCCAGACAGCCTTGAGGAATTTTAGTATTGTGCCAGCTGAGAGATGGAGAGGAATCGGTGTCCCTGTGTGTTTAAGAGGAACACAACAGTACAGGGGACCTTGACATTTATTTTTTTTGTCCCAGAGTAAGTTTATCTGCTTTTTAATGAATAGAACTGTGGCTGCCAGTGTCCTGAGGCAGGGTGGCCATCCTGCCTCAATCGGGTTTAGGTTTTTTTTTTTCTGACAGGTATGCAGCCGGCTGCTGCCAGGGCCTAACAGTTATGTGAGAACTTCAAGGGCTATTTTTTTCATATATGAAGAGACTGAAGGGCCTTTTTTTGTATTTGGCAGGCCTAGGGCTGGTGCCTATTCTGAAGCAGCCTTTATTTCCAGGAAGGTGGCTCTTGCATTTTTTTGTCTAGACAGGGGGTTCTCGGTATGCCCCCCAACCCCTGGAGGATGTAGAGGAGTTTTGCCATTGCCAAGAATCCGGGAATCCAGATTTTGCAGAGCCCGGTGGCCCCCAGGAACTTTTTATGCTTTTTTCATCTGGAGCCAGGCTAAGGAGATAATGACCTTTTTCTTCCTCCGCCCTAGTGCCCTTTTGCGCTGGGTGAGGAGGAATCCCAAGTACTGGACTTGGTGCTGGCAGATTTGTGCCCTTTTTTATTGAGTCTGACAGGAGTTGTAGGAGGGCTTTTGTGCCTTTTGCACAATTTTCCTGGGTGTCACTGGCAAGGAGAAGGTCATCTACATACTACAGGAGGGCAAAACACATGGCTTCCCTCGGAAAGGTGGCAAGGTCTGCAGCTAATGCCCTCTCCAAAGAGTGGGTGAGTTCCTGAACCCTTGCGGAAGCCACGTCCATGTTAACTGCATCTTCTGCCCTGTATCCAGTTCAGTCCATTCGAAGGTAAACAAGAGCTGGCTTTGGGGGGCCAGCCAGAGGCAGAAGAAGGCATCCTTTAAGTTTGGCAAGTGAACTATTTGGGGATCTGGCTGAGGAGGGTATACAGATTTGGAACCACCGGGTGTAAAGAAACAGTCACTCTGTTAATGGCTTGCAGGTCTTGAACAGGCTGGTGCCCTCCTCGTGGGTTTTTGACTGGTAGAAGTGGGGTGTTCCAGGGTGACTGACACTCAGAATGCCTTCCTCTTTGAGTCTGATCAGGTGTTCCTGGATGCTTGCTCTCGCCTCTTGTGAGAGGAGGTACTGCTGCTGTCTTTGTGGCTGGGTCCCTGGAATCAATTCTACAATGATGGGCTCAGTTATGAGCAAGTCCAGGTGGGTTGTCTTCATCCCATACTGAGGGGAAGCAGTGCTGAATTCAGGTGGGCTACTTGAGAGGATCTGGGCACAGAATAGCCTCCACTCCTCTTCCCTAAGTGCGGTTACTGCCAGTATGAGGGACCCTGACTCTTGTAGGCCTGTGGGTTTAGTTTGAGTCTGGTGCATCCAGTTGGTTCAAAAGTTATTTGGTCTCTGAGCTTTGAGAGTATATCTTGGCTGAAGAGGGGAACAGGGCACTTGGGCAGGTAGAGAAACTTATGTCAGGCTCTAGGGCTTCAAAGTTCACATTGGCAGGCTTGGCAAAAGTGTTGCTAGACTGCTTATGTCCCAGTGGCTCCGAGAATAGTTGCAGTCTTTTTACTGAAGGGAGTTACAGGGAGGGTGACCACAGAGTGTTCTGCCTCTGTGTCAACCATAAAAGTCATCTGTTGTCCCCCAACTTTCATTTTGACTGTGGGCTCATAGGGGCCAAGCATGAGAGAGCCCAGTCCTTGTTGATCTGAGTCTGTTCCTGCCAGACTAATGAGCCTTTCCATGTGAGGCT